TCCTCCCATCTGTGTTGAGTACATGTTGGACTTGTCCTTCCAGCACGATGTCTGTTTCATTTATTATTAACACTGCATGAGATGTGCTCTCAATTTATTTGTGTAATTGTAATTTAAAGAGAACAAAAAGAAACACACATCCTAGAAAAAACTTTGACTGCTGGACCACAAAGAGGCATGTAATGAAAGTAGAGTCCGCGCACTACTTTTTGGTTACTTTTCTTTGTTGCTATATTATTTTTGTTATGTTGGCATGGAAATAAATGAAACTTAAAGCTCTATGTGTTTATGTGATTTCACACATTTATAATGTGAAATTAATAATCGTGATAATCGTAAAACCGTGATTATTTCTCTGACAATAATCGTACCAAGAAAATCTATAATCGTGACATCCCTAGTGGATTCCCATTCTGAAGTCTCGAGTTCTGCATTTTGGCCATCACCATCTTGTTTTTTTTTGGAGTCAGAACTGACCATATTTGGGTGAGAGGCTGGCACTGTGGAGGAGTGAGGGGTGGATCTGACTGAGAAGCCAAGGACACTATTGGCAGCCAGCCTGTCAAAGCAGCTCACATTACTTTAAGCCTTGTAAATGTAAATGGGTGAGTTATAATAAAAAACAAAAATCACCCCCTGTACAGTTGTCATGAATGTTGAAATTAGCTTACCCTCCCACAACTGCCAATAAGACAGAACCATGTAATGGACAGCAATCTGGGCACTTTCCTGACAGTACTGACCCAACCTTTTTTTTCAACTGTCTCTTTGGGGTAGGCATCAGGCAACCTTGTTCACCTGGGTTGGTGTTTAAAGAATCTTGCAACAGCTGTTGTTAATTAGAGAGTTGCATATTATCATTTTACTGTCCATAAGTTTGAATGTTTATTCTTATTAAGAAAATGGGGGGCATTGTCCAAAGCTCTAATATGTACAGTTTCTTGTCTAAGTATGTTCTTGGTTTGTTTGTTTGTTTGTTTGTTTGTGCATCATTTGATCCGACATGCATTACTTAATATATGGTTGTGACATATGTAACTGTTGGTGTATCTAACTTCATTGTATGGGTGTGTACTTGTTCATATTTAGTTGAATATCACCTGAGGAAACATCAAAAGTTGCGGATTCATTTAAGTCTTTCTGAGAAACTGTCTCATTCATTCATCTCAACAAGGTAAAAATATTGTAATGAACTTTTTGCTCAATTACCATAACAAACAATGGAGAGGCTCCAGCTCATTTAAAACAGAATCCAGAGTCCTTATTCATACACACAAAGATACCAGTGTTTAAATTACTTCTCTGTCTCTGAGCGCAATACAGAATCTATTTTAAAATTCTATTCATAAATCTATCAGGCTCTTAATGGTCTCTGCTCTGCTCAGACGAGAACCATTAATATCATGTTTTTCTGACTTTACCAAGAACAGGATCCAATTCCGATGAGACACTTTTAATTTTCATTGACTTGTTTGGGAATCACCCCTGTGTAGTCATTAAAAGTCAGCTTATTGTCAACTTAAGCAGAAGTTCTGAACTTTTTTGTGTTAAAGACCCCTAAATTCACATTATATTCACATTAGGGCTCATTTATGCTCCCTTTACGTATGAAAATGTATACATCCGTTTCAAACGATGTTACCGTCACTGCCCACATACTTCCATGCGCCCTTTACGTTGGCATGGACGTTAACCAATATATCCACCAGGAGGCAGCCCAGCATCAAAAGTTTATGACAACAAACTTAAAAACAAACATGGCGACTGTGGAGGAGATATTGATAATGTACCTCTTGCATAAAAGACAAAAACAGAGGCAGCGTTGTAGGAGGCGGTGGTCGGTGAGGCCGTTAAATACATCGCGACTGGAGGATGGAGAATTCTTTTCTCTAGTACTGCCGATGAGATAAATTGAATTGTTATTTCTTCTTCTTGTCTCACTAGAGCTACGTATCGGGTAGTGACAGCTACACTGTCCCCACGGTTCCCGGTGGTACTGCTCCATTTGGCCTGTATCCGTAAGCTTTATGGAAACGTGCAGAAATACGGACGAAATGAATGCAGAGCACAGACAGAAGGCTCCGTCCGTATCCGGATCCGTATTTAACGCTGAGCATAAATGAGCCCTAAGATTTCGCTTCTGGGACCTACATCGCAAAAGATTTGGGTTGTTATTTATGATGAGGAACAGAATTCTATAGTTATCAATTAAAGTTGAGGAGATAACCGTGGGAAAGTGAAACCTATGATCAGAATAGTCGACCCTACTCATATGGGGTTCACCTATGTAATGAATTACACACTTTTCTGGGGACCCCCTGGAACTTCCTCAACGACCTGTGGGGGTATCTGGACCCCCGGTTGAGAACCATTGAATTAAAGTATCCAGATATTTGTAACACTGAATCTGTCCAATGATCTGACCCCAATGACTGTCTGAATGGGTGTGTAAGACTTTCTTCTAAAATACACACATTTATCTTTAGGTTTGCTGACATTCAGTTTGTGCACCAGGCCTTTAAGCTGTTTAAAAATCAAGTAAACAAGGGTTTGAACAGCAACATCAACCCCTGTTGTGTTCCACTATGCAGACAGCAGAGGATCCAGTGAGTCCTCCACAGACCAAATAAACTCCCTCTTGATAAGCTATTTGAATCATTATCAGTGAAGTCAGGACCACAGGTACACAATCACAGATGCTCTTAGAGGACTTGTTCTCAGCCACTGGCACAATTATTAATTTGTTCAAAAGAACGCTTAAATATGAGACAGAAAAAAGGTCCTTTTTTTAATTAAGTATAAATGATGGAGTATAGCATCCAACAGACTTTCTAAAGGAGCTGTACACAATGTTCAGAGCATCATTATAGCAAACATCTGTTGGCTATGTACAGATATAGTGAGTTAATGGTGTCCTGAGCAGAGAATGAAATGTGTGCTTTGTAATCTGAGCTTCTCTGTTTGTGGTCGTGGTAGACGGTCCACCAGCATGTGCATGCTAGTGCATGTGAGTCCTTGTGTGCGTGCCCCACTGTCTGGCTAATCACCACCGCTCTGCACTGTGCTCAAACTGCTGAAAATGCTGTTCAAACCCATGGCGTTGTCACTGAAGCATGTTGACCCCCCTCCAAGTAAGAACAACTACATGTCAGATAGGTGTTTCTAACCCAGTTGGGTGTGTGTCCTGTTTGTTTGTCTGTGTCAGTACGTGACTTATTTGATGATTGTGCTGGTGATTAGATTTATTCATAACCACTGTGTTTTAAGACACACCTTAAACCACAGTGCTCCTGTTGGTCATTTCCATTAAATCTAGCTTTGTTATGTGCATGTTTTGTTTCTTTGTCTTTAATAATTACTGTAATTTGACTTACCCCACACATAGCATTATTTTGTTTTAATGGATGTCCAGGAACTACAGGCAAAAACTCTCATTCCAGAAATAGAAATAAACTGAGAAACTAAGAAATAACTGTTGTTACTGATAGTATGTTAAATAGTTGTAATTTTTTGTTTTCGGCCGTATAGCTGATGCAGATAACATAAATATAGACTTGCTGGATTATTGGCTACAAATATACCCCAGGCGTAGGGCGTCCATGTGGTTTAGGGATTTCAGATGCTGACCATAAATTAAAACACTCCTGGTTTGAGTCTGGTAGGAGACATTTTTTGCATATTGTTTCTCCTCTCTGTGTAGACTGCAGAGGATCCAGTGCGGAGAATGTGGTTTTTTTGTGGTTGTGGTAGACGGTCCACCAGCATGTGCATGCTAGTGCAAGTGAGTCCCTGTGTGTGTGCCCCACTGTCTGGCTATCACCGCCGCTCTGCACTGTGCTCAAACCGCTTAAAACACCATCTCAACCCATGGCGTTGTCACTGAAGCATGTTGCCCCCCCCCCGGTTCCCCCCCAGATTAACACCATTAGTTGTCAGCACTTTTGCCGTTGTTAGCAGTGTTTATGGAGTTAGCTGTGTTAGCTGCAAGCCGACAGCTTGTCCATCATGTTGAGAACCATGTGCAGACAATTTTCTCCTCACAAAAAATCACAAGAGAGGAAAACATGATAAAACAGTGTATTTTGGTCAGTGTGCCCGTCCAGTTAAAACAGTACACAAACCCAGCCAATGTTCAGAATACCCAGTACTGTTCAGTTCTGTTTGTCATGACAAAATAAGAGCAACAACATGTCAGATAGGTGTTTCTAACCCTGTTGGGTGTGTATCCTGTTTGTCTGTTGGGTTGATATTTTTTCAATAAAACTCTTTCAGTACGTGACTTATTTGATGATTGTGCTGGTCATTAGATTTATTCATAACCACTTTGTTTTTAGACACACCTTGCACCACAATGCTCCTGTTGGTCATTTCCACAAATTATTGCTTTGTTATGTGCATGTATTGTTTCTTTGTATTTAATAATTGCTCTATTTATGTTGTTTTAATGGATGTCCGGGAACTACAGGTGAAAATTTGCCTAGTGACCTTTTGATCGTAGAGATCATCATAGAAATAACCCTGTTGTTACTGATATTGATGTTAAGATGTTTTGGGTTTTTTTGTTTTCTTCTGAATAGTTGATGGAGCTAACATAAATATAGACTTGCTGGATTATTGGCTACAAATATACCCCAGACGTAGGGCATCCTGATGGTTTAGGGATTTCAGATACAATAAGTTGAAACTCTCCTGGTTTGAGTCTGGTAGGAGACCTTCGCTGCACATAACTTCTACTCTGTGTGAATCTGTAGCCCACATCAATACTGATGACTGCAGGCCTCTCAGTTCCTCTATCAGAGTGACCAAAATTTGAATTTAAAGTCAAAAGGGCCTGGCATGAGGTGACTTTTAACCACTGACCCAGTTTCAATCAGCATCCGATTGCTTTGGAAATTCTTACATTGCAGTAATTATCCACACCCTCGTGAACTGCCCCACCCTGTCAGCTGTGCACCTGATTTAAAGCAGCACATCCAGAGATCCACCAGTCATCAGTCACAGCAGAGAGACAGTATATGCTTCTTTCATCATGACTTTGTAAGTATCCCTTTACATCTGATTTCATTAGAACATATTTTGCTACATATTTTGAGAATTAGTTGCGCTGTTTTCTGACTTGAACTGTATTGTTGTTTAGAACAGAGTGAGGATTTGTTTTAAAATCCTGTTGTTTTTTCAGACTCATATCAAACATTTTTTTTTCTATTTCCTCTGCTTATCCACACAGTAACAACATGTGCAGGCTCACTCTGACTGCAGGTAAGACACACTGCTCAAGTTTTGTTTCCTTAAAGAGTCAATTCACCCAAATCACAAAAACACACATTTTCTCATTTTCCTCCAGTGGTATCTAACCATACAGATATTTTTTGCATTGCTTGTGTTTTTGTCTCTCAGATTAATGAGAGTGAATGTAATTTGGAATTTGGGCAAACTGACCTCTTAAGCTCTGTTTTTAACCTAAATACTGACCAGTCTGTCACTTTCAAGGTCTCTGTTTGATGATGGCCAGCTTGGGTAAGTTTATAACATACATTATTAATAATTAATAATCAACAGTTTTACCAGCAGATAAATAATCTCACTAACTCATTGTTGGTTAACAAGGACTTTAATAATGATGTCTCCAGAAACAAATTAGAACCATCATGATTTTTCTTCCTGTCTCAGCCTCTCCCTCAGCCTCTACCCCAGCCTCTCCCTCAGCCTCTCCCTCAGTCTCTTCCCACAGGCTGGTGTGTTACTACAACAGCTTGTCTGAAAAAAGAGGAAAGTTCACGGTTTCAAATATTGATCCAAACAAGTGTACCCACTTGATCTACGCCTTCTCTGACATTAAAAAACAACACAGGCTGGTCCCGAGCACATCAACTGACATACTACACTATCAGGCCTTCAATGGACTCAAAACCAGGTCAGTGCTTCAGCCAAATCAGTGTATTCAGACCTTTTCACTTTTGTCCCCTTAGTCTATAAATACTGTGGAAATGATGCTGAATTTCCTGTTTTGTTAAATAATCATTACTGAACTATTTTGCTCCACAGAAATCCACTGCTCAAAACCCTGTTGGCTGTTGGTGGCCTGAACTTTAACAAACAAAAGTGAGTTACTTACATGAACACTGAGGCCTTCTTTGTGTGTCATTGCAAAGTGTAAGCATCACTTCAACATGGTATTTTCTGACCATGAAACTTGTTGTGCCCATATGTTTTTTGTGCTTTGCACAGCATACATTGTATGTGGTTTCATATAAACGAGGTAGCAGAGTGAAATGGTATTTAAGTACATAAATAAGTTAATTTCCTGATTCAATCAGCACACAAAATGTCAGTTTTTAGTAACAATATATTAATGCAAACACTGCAACATAGTTCAACAAGCAGGATTGTTGATATCTGATACCTTCATGACATCATGAGTAACCAACAACAGTCGCTGGAGAAGAATCACACAAATATGTGCACATGAAGGGGTCAGTATTGTTAGTATCTGCAAACTCCAAATGAGTTGGTGTTTTATTGAAAGATTTACATTTTACTAGTGGGTGTTTGCATTCAATCTAATGCAAAGTAAGCGCAGCTGAATGCATCACCCATGGCCCATGGAAAAGCATTTTCATTAACTTTTAACAAATATTACTCCACTGAAACTCACAAAATGTGTTTCACATGTGTTAAACATGGTAACCTGGCCATTTACTTATGGCTGTATGTTGGTCTTTGCTACATGACCTTGTGCTTTGTGCTGCACTTTGTGTTTGTGCTCTTAAAATGCAGTCTTTAAATGCAGTTTGTGGAGTGTCATCTTTAAAACACTGTTTTGTTTAAATGTTTACCAGATTCAGTGCAATGGTGGCAACACAACAAAACAGAGCAAAGTTTATCAGGTCTGCTATCACACTACTGAGAGCAAATGGTTTCGATGTCAGAAATATGCTGTATATAGAATTTATGAAAATATTACCTTTTTATATTTAACTGAAACTGAACTGTGCTTCTGTGTTGTATAGAAGCTCAAAGAGGCCTTTATGGCTGAGGGAACAGCAGATAACCGATTACTGGTCACTGCCAGTGTCTCTGCTGAGAAAGCAATCATCGATGCCAGTTATGAAGTCGCACAGATTACTACGTAAAACTAATTTCATGCCATTCCTAACATTATACCCATAATTAGTTGCAGTCATGTTTTGGTGAATGTGATCTCCTCTGCATTTAATCAGGTACCTGGATTTCATTAATGTGCTGACATTTGACTTTCACGGACCCGGGAAAAGTGTCACAGGACATCACAGCCCCTTATATCAGGGATCCCAGGACACTGGAAACAAAACCTACTTTAACACTGTAAGTACAGGGATTCATATTCTAACTGTATAAATGCCTTTTCATTTAGAGATGTCGTCTCATCCCAATTGTTTTTTTTCTCCACATTGTAGGACTATGCCATAAACATGGGGTTAGTGGCATACGGGCGAGTTTTTAACCTCTCCTCTGCATCCAGTGTTGTTGGAGCACCAGCCAATGGTGCCAGTATAGGAGGTCTCTTCACTGGTGAAGAAGGACTCTGGGCCTATTATGAGGCTGATCAGAAGTCCAGTGCAAGAGGGTTTATTCTTTGCTCAGAGATGACATCCATTAAACCAATAAACCCATTTGAGTTGGTGGTCCGAACCAAGAACTGAACCCAAAAGGCTCGCGCACTGACCTTTATACCTAGTCTCTCTCTCTCTCTCTCTCTTGCTCACTTTCTTAAGTTTTGTAACCAATCATATGTGTAGAATTGCCCTTATTTTTCCTAAGTCATATACGTCACAACATCACTTCTAAGTCACTTGAACCCTGACAGACCCCTAAAACCAGTTAAAACCGGTTGGGGGGCCTTCCTTCACAAAAGTGTCAACCTCAGCACTTTACGTCTTCCATATCTGATCTCCCCCCCTTTGATGTATCCCAATCATCCAAGTTTGAGTTGGTGTGCTTGGACTGGCCTCAGGGTGTTTGTATGTATGTCCCAGGCCTTGCATGTTCTCCAGCTCCCCCCTCCTTTCTCCTGGCTTGATTTTACTATAGGGGCTTTAGTTCATTCTACTATTATATTTGGATCTTGCTTGGCTTTTTCGTTTAAATTCACACAGTGATAACATATTGATGATGCAGTAGCAATGTATTGATAACACAGTGGTAATTAACTAATTATATATTGATAATATCTTGATAATACAACTCAACACAGTGATTGTGCTTAGATTTTGGTGCTCTTGACTACCTTTTAACTCAATTTGATATTATATACATGTACACACATACACATACATACACACACATGTATGTATATATATATACATATACATATACATATATATATATATATATATATATATACATGCCTTTATCTTGAAAGAGTAGAAGTCCGGATGATCTCTGATCAGAGCGTTCCATACGCCACCACAGGAAATCAGTGGGTTGGATTTGACAACCACTACAGCCTTGAAGTTAAGGTAATCATCTGTTTCATTCATGCTAAAGTAATGCTCAGTAATTCCTGACATGACATCAGCGGTTAAAGTGTTTTGTTCATCATCCTCTCAGACCAGTTACCTAAAGGCTAATGACTTTGGATGATCTTTTGTCTGGTCTCTGGACCTGGATGACACTAGTGGACAGTTCTGTAAACAGGGCAACAACCCTTTCATCAGCCACCTGCACACTCTCCTGTGTCCAGGTAATCAAAATCCAAAATGTTTCTATCCTATCCTGACATCCTCTGTGTTTGATTTAATTAGGTCAGCCTTAATGTAATCACCTGTTATTGACTTTATTATATTATATCATGCAGAGTTCAAATATCTGCTTTCTCTATGAAGAAATCTCAGCAGTCAAGCTCAGTGATATGAAAATATGATGTGTTGATCAGAGTTAAAGAGTTAACAAAATATCTGATTCTCGTTCTTTTAGGTTTTCCTGACCCTACAGCTACAACAAACACTGCCACAACAGCTCCCAAAACAGCCGTTTCCACAACAGTCGCTCCTGCTTCTGAAAACCCCTGTATTGGTGTGGAGAATGAGAAATTGGTATTGTCAAAAGATGTTTTATTAACAATTTCTTCTGATTTATCAATGTTGATTCTATAAAACATACATAATAATGGCTATGCTTGCTTTTAAGGTGGAACACTTTGAAAATGTATGCATGAAATGTCAGCACCACCATTTTCAGATGGATTTCCAAAGGCTTCCTGTCGCCACTGAAATTCCAAAATAATGGGAATATTATTACATTTATTTCACTTCCAACTCTTTTCAGTAAGCAAACAAAACTATGACTAATGTCATGACACCCAGTTTTTCGCCAGTGAATTACATATACTTTCATTCATTTATAAATGCATGTACATGTTAAACACACACTATGCAGGATTTTCCTTTAAAACAATGTATGGACTCATTCAAAAGTCGTCTCTCTCAATCACAGTTTACGACCCACTAGAATTTATGGCAGAGTATTTACCTCCAGGTCGGGATGTATCCCCACAGCACACAGGTGAGGTCAGGACTTCATAATAAGGGCCAGACTGTAAACTGTATGCATCCGAGAGGAAGCCACGAAGATCATAGACACCGCGCCGTTTTTTAAAGAATCTTCCAACAGCTGTTGTTCACTATAAAATCTCTTCAGCAATGTTGTTTATTCTTATTAATAAAAGGCCACAGTAAAAAGTTAATAAAAATTAATTAATTGTTTATTTTCATGTCTGTCCGTTTCATCATGGCCCACCCCTTCTGGGATTATTTAGACACACTTAAAGAAAAACAACAATCTAATGCCATCACGCTGACACAAAGCAAATAAATAACAGATATAAAGTTAGCAATTCAACATAAAAAGACTGGTATAAACAAATAACTACCCAATACAAGTGGAAACTAAACAAATTAGACACAGGTATCTAGAATAAAGAGTGTAACGCCAAAAGGGTTTGATGTGTGGCTCCACTTGAGGAGAAAACATCACAACTGCAGGGCATAGTAACTACGACAACAATTACCTCTGTAAACATTTTATGATATAATGGCCTATTTTCTAAGTATTAATTCAATCCCATCACTCTGGACTAGAGCTGCTGTGAGTCATTAAAAATCTGGAAAAATAAGTAGGAGCTGCTCTCTTGTCTTTTGGTGCTGAGCAGAGGGCACCGGTAAAGGAACTTTAAAATATATCTTTTTATAACGGTTTCTCTCTCGTGGTCCTTCTAGCTCACTGTTTGTTATAAACTTCAACTTTACTGTCCCAGAGGGTCAATACTCTCGCAGCCAGGAAAAACACAGAGGCACACAGACTAAGGAACAGTATAAAAAATACGAGTAAATACATAGAACATGAATGCATCAAGCCACACAAAAAAAAAAAAAAAAAAAAGTAAGACAGCCTTTGGTAGTCTTAAGAAGAGTAGCTCAAACTCTCCATTCCAGAGATGAAGAGCAAACTGAAAAATACTTTGAGCCTTTGGAATTGCTCTCTTACAGAAAATGTGAGACAGATCGAGGAGCACGCCAATGATCTTACTGGTCATTGTGACAGAATATATAAACAAATATAAACAGAGAAGTTGATGAATGGGGGAGCTACAAAAAAGCGTTATGAGCTTACCACCCACTAGTCTCGCTCACCAGACCTTTCTCAAGAAAAGAAAGGTCTGGCTGCACCGACTCTCACTTTAAGATTGGAAAAAAAAAAACGCCCCGGCTTTTTTTATTTCTTTCAACCAATCACAATCGTTCTTGGCGGTGCCACAGCAACGGTGCGCTTGCAAAAATATTACCGGGGGGGGAAACAGGTTTTGGTGTAACACAACCACAAAAATATCGGCTACAGGACGCAAACCATGGCAGAAAAATGGCTACATCCCCGCAAGATCAAACACTGCAAAAGTTAGTAAAGGACATGTTGAAATGTTGAAAACTGCTACACAACAGGAGGTGGTAGGGCGGGACTTCAGCGGGTGGCTCGTTCCGCCCAATGAGAGGCTGATCTATGCAGCGAACTTCCGCCCACTCGGACTAACCACCCCCAAACCAGTTGAGCCTCCAGAGGAAGTGCAATTGTTGCTGGAGATTACCCACCATATTTTGCCAAACACAGAGGTAATGTAATAATATTAGTCCTGTTTGAATTGGCATCTCTGTGGTTGGCATCACTGCATTTTTTTTTTGTTTCTCAAATGCTTTTTTCTGCCTCTTACATGGACGAGAATTAGATGGACTGCATTTGCAATTACAAATGCAAGTTTCTCTGATGTCACTACACAGCATGGAGATCCATTTGAAGAAGGCAAACCCAAATCCATCACAAGAGCAAAATCTCGAAAGATGAGATGGATGACATGCTTGACTGCATGCAGCAGGGAAACATTTTCTATCTTTCAACAGGCTCAACTGTTATTATGTGGTAGCCTGTTAATAGTAACACTGACATCATAACTGGGAGTAAATTTGAGTAAAATACAGACTTTGTTTATCTTGCAAATGAAACACAGATGTGGGGATATATTCTTAAATCACATGAGGTTTCAGGTACTAATCCCATGCGAATGGGGCTTAAGACAAGGGGTGGATTATGAGAAGCTGGACCCCTGGAAACAGGCCCCACCACCTCTCCTACAGAGAAGCAAGACACAGACTTTGTGTTGGCTTTTCGTCTCTTTGTAGTTGTGTCTCTTTGAGGTAATTTTGTGTCTTTTCTGTTTGTTTTGTGTCTCTTTGTGGTCATTTCGAGTCTCCTTCTGGTCGGTACTTGTTAATTTGAGTGACATGTTGCAAGTGAAGGCCAGAGGGCCCCCTGCCACTTTGGGCCTAAGGGCTCGTTCTGTAATCCATCCATGGTTTAAGCAATATTCTGGGTCAGTCTGCTCTTTATTATTGGGAAGCAGCGACTGCTTTCATTCAAGCCAACAATTATCAACACAAAGTACTATTTAGTGCTGTTCGTGAAATAAAAAAAAATAACAAGGTGGGACATGGGTGTTTCTAACCCAGTTGGGTGTGTGTGCTATTTACTTGGTTGTGTATAACATTGTTTGAGGACATGCCTTATTTGATGATTGTGCTGTTCATTATGGCATTAATTGCTGTCTTTGTTATTAAAGCTGACCTTTTGCTGGTTTATTTTTAACCACTGTATAATTAAACACGCCTTACATGCCGCCGCTGCTCATTTCGACTAATTGTAGCCTTGTTCTATGCATGTATTGTTACTTTGTCTTTAACAGTTACCTTAACTTGACATACCTCACACGTCATATCATGACGTTGTTTAAACATAATTGTTGTTTACAAGACGTCTCTCAAGAATTGGACAGGAACAGCAGGTGAATATTCACCTTTTGACTGATACATGCCAGAGAAAACATTTTGTTATTGTTAAAATGTTCTGGTGGTCTGGTGTTTTAAGACAATGCTGACAATGAAATTGCAACATCGTTTAAGTCTTGATCTTTATTGCATATTATTTCTGCTCTTTCTGCTGATTACCAGAAAAAAACCCTGAAAGTACCACTGAATTATTGCAGTGCTAATGTCTTATATTGGCCAAGTATTTCTGTTTTTCTGGTTACTTGACAGAGTTTTAAGCAAGTAATTACAAGAAAAATTTGAGTTTAAAGTCAAAAGGGCCTGGCATGAGGTGACTTTGATTCGTTCTATTGTTCCACCTTCCATCAGAATCTGATTGTTTTGGACATTGCAACATGCAGTAATTATCCACACCTTAGTTAACTGTCACACCCTGTCTGCTGTCTACCTCATTTAAAACAGCACAGCCAAACATCTGTCAAACATTCATCACTTACAAGTAAGACACCATATTTGCTTCTTTCATCAGTAACTTTGTAAGTATCCCTTTTACTCTGATTTTAACTACCCACTTGTGATTTCTTTCTTGTTGCTTTTTATATTTCTATACCTGCTCTTTCTCTATAACTAGCTACACTAAATACATTTTAGGGAGAAAGGTGGAGGGGTGAAGTGAACCAGCAGACACCATGTAGACTCTTTCTCTTTTCGCTTGTTGTACCTAATGTCATTATTACTGTGGTTGTGCCAATGACATGCCTGTCATGATTCTAAGTTAGATCAGACCTGATCAGATCTTAACTTCATCATACCTTCATTGATACATGTGTGGTAAGTGTGATACTGTTAGTGTGGTTGGATGCTGAGCACCATGTCCTCTCTGTTCTTTGGCATTTGACAGCTGGATTGATATTGTTTCTCTAGATTCTGATCACCTTATTTCTTTTTTTAAACATAACATTACATTAATGTTGTTAAAGCTATGATTGTGTGTTGTTTTTCCTGATAAAGCGAAGTGAAAATATCATGTGTCTGGTAAGAAGAGGAATATTTATGAAGCAGGTAGTTGGGTTTGACAATGTGATGGTACAGTTGCGATCTCCCTCCAGTATTCTCAGACTATTTTCAAATCGGCAGAGCTAAAGTAGATGATGAAACTATGCTGAGTGATACCCATCCTACTGTGGAATCTGTTTTTTCACGTCTTGACCTGTGGTATAAGGACAGATCACAATTTGAGCGTTTATCGAGATTCCCTCTTGGAAAATAATCCTTAGATGTTTTGGTTGGGTGCTGACAACATCAGTAGCTGCTGGATACATCTTAAAGGGATAGTTTGGATCTTTTGAAATGGGGTTGTATGAGAGACTGAATGAAAGTCAGTGGATTTCATACAGTAGATGTCAGTCAGCATGCCCCCAGTTTGGAAAAGCAAGCAGGAGTTAAGCTGAGCAATGTGCTGCTGTGGATGGGTCACCAACAAAACATATTTTAGCTTCCTAAAAAAAAAAAACATCAATAATAGTTTAAGCATACAGTATATTTAGAATATATTCACTTAACCTTGCCTTCAGACACGAAGGTGACGCTGTTATATTGGTTTTTTGAAAGCCAGACTCCATTGAGAAAAATACTGATTTAACACAGCTGAACAAAGGAGCTGCTGGTCGACAGCTGCTTCGATCAGTTAGTTCCAGCAGCTCCCTCGTTCACTGACGTAAAATTACTGTTATTGTCAGTGGAGTCTGGTGAAATCAATGAAAGCACAGACAGAGAACTGAAGCCATTGAACAACTTCAGTTCATTGTTAAAGTGGCAAGGTAAAGCAGTAAAAATATTCTCAATAGTGTACTCTTAAACTGTTTTTGATTGTTTCAGGTGGAACTTCAGGTGGCTAAAATATGTTTTGTTGCACCCTACAGCACCCACAGCAGTATACTGCTTAACTTCCATGCCGATACTCCAGCGTGCTTCTCTAAACTGGGGGCAGGCCAACTGACATTCACTGTAGACCTATATAATACACTGACTATGAATAAGTAACTCATACAACCCCACTTAAAAAGATCCAAACTGTCCCTTTAAAGGTGCTGTATGTAAGAATGTGGCCAAAACGGTTACTGCACTCAAATTCAAAATACTGCCGCAAGTTGTGTCCGCCCCCCCTCCCCAACAGATTCGAGGCATCGGCGCGTCCTTGATCTTCGGTTTTCCAGCGGACCGTTGGAGCAAGGCTGGCTTCTCTGCTGCTAACGCTGCTGCCGGGATACAGCTGAGGAGGAGCCAGCTGCTAATGCTGCTTGCTGTGCTGCTGTAGCTCAGTCATAACTGTAACTGATGCTGAGACTCTACTGACTGTGTGACTGGTAGACGGCGGTGGCACAACAGGCCAAAACACAAATTCAAAACATAAACATGATTTGCAGACCGTATTTTTTTTTATTTAAATGCGAATATTCTGGCTGTACTATTGTTGTCGGTGAGATCAGTATGTTATATTAACATTATTCCTTAGTCTCTGTGACATATTAAGATGATTTTACGACTATTTGCTTTAGATTTCTTACATACAGCTCCTTTAACTGTAAACGTAAACCAAACAAAGCTGTGTGCAACATGCACCAAAATAATTATTCCAATATTTTATGTAGCCCACAACCTGGCCTCAGCCAAGTGCTTAGTATTAATGATGCACACACCACAGAATATAAAACTCATTATGCTAACTGACACTCAAAAAAAGCAGCTGTCACAGGGGACAAGTAAAAACTTACTGTTGAGGTAACAATATCTGGGCCTCAACAAGCTAGAGTATAGACATAGCATTCAAATAACATTTAACAAGATATGTCGTAGTTATCCTTACCTGGCTTTTACTGGTGAAAAAAGGTTAAATAATGAAAAAAATACTGACTTTGTGTGCCTTATGAAACATGATGCCATCATATGATGGTGACCAGCATCTGTAAACAGATAAAATACTCAGGGGAACATTCTGCGGTCACTTGTACTGTTTGCTTTTGCCACCATTCATTCACAGTTAATTAATATAACCATCACAGGACTACCAAACACCTGTTTTTAAACACTGCTCTATGTCCCTGATTTACCCTGCTGTTAATATGTAAATTATCTGTACATACAAGTTATATTAATGTGACTTATTTCAGAGATGAATTCAAAGCTTACTTTGTGAAACAATTCACAAGGGCTATTAAGATTCACCGTCTAACATTAAGTTTAAAGTGCAGTTTGAAATCCCCAGTCACAGGCTACAATTTCATCGACCTTTACCTTGTATGGCAACCAAGTGTTCTTTCTCATTAGAAAGTGTAAATAATCAGTATTTAGTCAGGATAGATTAAACAGAAAATTCATGAAAAACATAGAACAGTTCATCCAAATGACATTTCCAACTCTGGCTTCCAGTAAAACTCATCAGTTTTAAATGTTGACACCAAAAATGAAAGCATCATCATACTGGAGAAAGAACTTGACCTTGAAAGGACAAATACTTTGGTACTAAACTAGAATTAAATACATGCAGTTTTCTGACTTGAAATGCATTTAAACACTTAAATTAATAACAACGGAGTGAGTACTTATTTGAAAATCAGCTTCATATTAACATTTTTTCTATTTCTTCTGCTTATCCACAGTGACAACATGTGCAAGCTCACTCTAACTGCAGGTAAGGCACACTGCCAAAGTTATTGTTTCCTTACAGGGTCAGTACATCCAAATCACAAAAAAACAAACATTTTCTTAATTACCACCAGTGGTATTTAACTATGCAGACACATTTTATGTTACCAGATACGACAGCGGGGCTGGTATTGTTTTCACCTTGTGAGGCTACGTGTCTGTGTGTGTCAACATGGCAAAATGTGGTCCCTGAGACATCAATTGTAGCAGGAACTACCACAGAGACAGTTTTGTGTACCTGACCAGGTGGTCAGGTAGCTGTCTATCTGTCTGTCTAGTTCTCTGTGGACAACTTTTGTCATTGTGATAGTGTCACAGTTGAGTTGTGAAGTTTTAGTCACATTGAAGGCTGAATTTGAAGATGGGTGTAGTATAAGCAAGGCACCAGCAGTAGGGGGTAGAAAGTAGGGAAGAGGGCCATCGGATTCCCCACTTTCTGCCCTTGACCCACATTCGTTTTACGTATAGCAGCTGGTGTGATCCTATCGCTGGGTAAACTAGAGACCGTGATCCCGGTCTCTAGTTTAGCCATGTTTTTGTCTCTTGGATTACAGTAAGGAGCAAATTCACAAAACCATTGCACAACTTTTGCAACTACTAAACCTGCACATTTAAGACAAAATAAAATCGTGTAAATCTTAAAGCACCCGCAAAGGGTACAATGCACCTCTTACTGCGCTGCCAAGCAAATATGGTCTTGGTGCTCCTGTGCTTTTTGCATATATCTAAATTAGGTAATATATGGTGTGAACCAGCCCCTTTCTATGCAAATCAGCCTCATTGCAAAAGCAATCCAATAGACAAATATCAGGGCTAATAGCCATACACAGTAAGTGACATTGTTAGCCCCCTCAGAGACTTGGTTGTAACTGCACTTATTTATTTATTTTGCCCTGTGCTTCAAATCATGCCTTCTTCTTTCACTGCCTGAAGGTGTGCAATCGACAACAACCACAGCACTGACAGACTGCAATATTAAATCACAAAAACTGATTCTTTGCAATGACATATAAATTTCTTACCTTAAGTGAGAGTGAATGGAATTTAGTTTGTACTGCTTACCAATTAAAAATTGCATTTAGAAAATTCACAGGCAAATCTCTCCAGAAACAGTTTGCCCTTTAGGTAAAACAAATATAACACACAAAAAGTATCATCCAGAATACACACTGCTCTTGAAATTTTCAAAATGTAAATGAAATCAAATTCTCCTCCAATGTACTGGGGTCACAGCAGAAATCTAACAGAGTAATACCTTCAGAACATGAACAAATAAATCTAAACCTATTTGTGAGGGGAAAAAATGTTTTTTTTGTTCCCATTATTGTTTTGTAATTTGGGTGAACTGACCTGATAAGCTTTGTTTTTAACCTTATACTAACGACTCTGTCACTCTGAAGGTCTCTGTCTGATCATCGCCAGCTTGGGTAAGTTTATAACATGTATTAATAATGATCAACAGTCTTACTAGGAGTAAATAATGTCAATAAGTGACCGGTTGTTTGTAAACAGGAATGTATTATATATATGATTGACATCTTCAAAAACAAATTTAAACCATCATGATTTTCTTCCATGTCTCAGCCTCTTCCTCCAGGCTGGTGTGTTACTATAACAGCTTGGCTGAAGACAGAGCGGAGTACGGGAAGTTCACAGTTTCAGACATTGATCCAAACAAGTGCACCCATCTGATCTATGCCTTTTCTGACATTAATAACCAACATGAGCTGGTCCCCAGCAGAGCAACTGACATACAACAGTATCAGGCCTTCAATGGACTCAAAACTAGGTCAGTGCTTCAGTCTATAACAACTATGGAAATGAGGCTAAATTTTGTGTGTATGTTGAATAATTCTTACTTAAACTTTTATGCTCCCACAGAAATCCACTGCTTAAAACCCTGTTGGCGGTTGGTGGCCTGACCTTTAACACACAAAAGTGAGTTACTTTCAAGAGCATTTGGGCCTTTTTGTGTCAGTGCAAAGACAAGTATAAGCCACAACTCAACATATTGTTATTTTCCTGACCATGACTCTTGCTTTGCCAGTTCATGTGGTGTTTTTGTGCTTTGCAAAGCATGCATGGTGCGTAGTTACATACAAATGAGGTGTCACAAAGTGAGATGCTGGTATTTAACCACATTAGTAAATTCATTTCCTGATTCTATCAGCACACAGAAACAAAATATGTGATGACAATTTTAGGAACTACGTAATAATGCAAATACCCACTTTAAAATAGTTCAAACCTTCATTGTATTATGTGAAACCAAAACTACCATGCTTGAAAAGCATCACACAAAAAGGTGCCCATAAAGTGGTCAGTGTCACTGGTATTTGCAAACACCAAACAGTAAAAGATTGGACTTAGATTATTTTGACTGAACTTTGTTTACATAACAATTAAAAAAATGGAATACATTTGTTTATGTTGAAACCCACTGGGTGTTTGCATTAAATCTTTGATCTGACTTAAATCTTTCGTTACAAACTCAATGGAACCAAATGAATCACTTAAGGCCCATATAGGGTTGAAGCAGTATACCAGTGTCACAGGATACTGTGGTATGAACATTGATGGTTATTATGCAATGTACATTTGTTTATCCATGGAAATGAAAAAAAAAAAAACTGGACGGAGAATCTCACCCACGCGTGCATATCTCCTTTCCTCCTTGAGGCTTCCTTCAGGGCTTTTTACAATTCCATTTTTGAAATTTGTTTAACACTTTATTTATTATGAAGTACTCAACTTCAACTCAACTAAAACAATCCATCTGTTGTCATGTCTTTCAGAGACACTGTAACTGATATTGTTATGTATGTAATGTTATACTGTGAAAGCATGGTATTTTCAGAGACAGTTGTAGTCTTGTGAAAATCTAGGCCCATATGAAAAAAAGGTGTATTTTTGTTTTGCCACGACACTTCTACTAACACTTGCAAAACTGAATGCAGCCCAATAATGAGGTTGGTAACTTCACAGTATAAAGTGAAAAACATGGTAACCAGATAATTTGCCTATTTGTCTGTGTTCATGTTTACCAGATTCAGTTCAATGGTGGAAACACAACAAAACAGAACAGAGTTCATCCAGTCTGCTATCACATTGCTGAGAGCTCATAGGTTTGATGGGCTAAATCTTGACTGGAGAAACCCTGGAGGAGCTGGAAGCCAACCACAGGACAAGCAAAGATTCACACTGCTTTGCAAGGTCAGATCCTCAATTTAACCTCTGTCAGAAACTGTCAGAAATATATAGTTTTGTATATGAAGAGTTCATTTGATGAACAGATAACACTATTTTCAATATTTTCTTAAGTGTGTGTGATTGTGTGTGTGTCTGTGTGTGTGTGTGTGTGTGTGTGTGTGTGTCTGTGTATAACCCGACCCTAACTGACACTAAATTTTGCTTCTGTGTTGTATAGGAGCTCAAAGAGGCCTTTATGGCTGAGGGAACAGCAGATAACCGACTACTGGTCACTGCCAGTGTCTCTGCTGAGAAAGCAGTCATCGATGCCAGTTATGAAGTCCCACAGATTGCAATGTAAAACTTCCTTGATGTAATTCTTGACATTATACCTGTGATTAGCTGCAGTCATGTTTTGGTGAATGTGGTCTCCTCTGCATTTAATCAGGTACCTGGATTTCATTAATGTGCTGACATTTGACTTTCACGGCCCCTGGGAAAGTGTCACAGGACATCACAGCCCCTTATATCATGGATCCCAGGACACTGGAAACAAAACCTACTTTAACACTGTAAGTACAGGGATTCATACTGTAAAAGCCTAAAAGCCTTTGGAGATGACCGCTCACTCTAATTGTTCATTTTTCTCCACATTGTAGGACTTTGCCATGCGGTACTGGCGGGACCAGGGAGCACCACCACAAAAGATAAACATGGGGTTAGCAGCATACGGGCGAGCATTTAACCTCTCCTCTGCATCCAGTAATGTTGGAGCACCAGCCAATGGTCCTGGTGAGGAAGGCTGCTACACTGGCGAAGAAGGATTCTGGGCCTCTTATGAGGTAAAACTGCAAGCTATGAATGTTATTGATTATATCAGTAGCCTTGTGACAGGCTGATGGCTTTTACTGTATTTAGTGTGAAAATTCCTGTTTGAATGAATACATTAGATCTACATTTGAAATTTGACCTATCTTTTCAGATTTGCCTTTATCTTGACGGGGTTACACCCCAGTTGATAACCGATCAGAAAGTTCCATATGCCATCGCAGAAAACCAGTGGGTTGGATTTGACAACAAAGACAGCCTTAATACCAAGGTAATCATCAGTGTAATTCAAACTGTTGCTTAATTATTTGAAAAAGACTGGTTGTACAGAGATCAGTTAAACAGATACTTCGTCAACAATTCTTGAGCTGTTGAATTGTTTTGTTCATTGTCCTCTCAGGTCAATTACCTGAAAGCTAACAATTTTGGAGGAGCCTTCATCTGGTCTCTGGACCTGGATGACAACAGTGGACAGTTCTGTGGAACAGACAAATGCCCCCTCATCAGCCACCTGCATGCTCTGCTGGTTCCAGGTAAAGAAAACTTGAAACATTTCTATCCTATCCTGTCATGGGATGGAGGTTTCAAATGTGTATTTCACTTAATGCTATCAACATTGATGGAATCTAATTTTGTTTTTTTTTACTGTGTATTTTGCCATCAACCAAGTAAATAATGTTGTGATGATTTAACAGGGTAAATTAACAATTTACACAATATCTGACTCTTATTCTTTTAGGTTTTCCTGGCGTGAGTACCTTGAATACTACATCTACGGCTCCTAAGACGACTCCCACTACCAAAACCACAAAAAGTAAAACTACGCCAAAAACTACAAAAACGACTTCAACTCCTGCACCTACACTCACAAAACCCTCTATCACAACCACAACAATTCCCCCGACAACTGCCCCTCCAACAACAGCTGCTCCCACAACTGCAGCTCCCACAAGAGCAGCTGCCTCAACAGCAGCTCTCACAACAGCCGCTCCCAAAACTGCTGCTCCCACGACAGCTGCTCCCACAACAGCTGCTCCAACAACAGTGGCTCCCACAACAGCAGCTCCCTCAACAATACCTCCAACAACTGCTGCACCCACAACAGTCGCTCCTACAACAGTTGCTCCCACACCTGCTGCTCCCACAACTGCCACTCCTACAACTGAAAACCCCTGTAATGGTGTGGAGAATGGGAAAATCCCCATCCCTAATGAGCCAAACTTTTTTTTTAACTGTGTTCAGGGGAATGTTAACAAGGTAAAATGTCCTGGTCAGAGAGTTTTTAGCGCAGATCAGGGCCAATGTGTTCTCACACCAGCAGCTCCCACAACAGCAACTACCACAACTGCAGCTCCCACAACAGCCGCTCCCACAATAGCCGCTCCCACAACGGCTGCTCCCACAACGGCAGCTCCCACAACAGCTGCTCCTACAATAGCTGCTCCTACATTTGCAGCTCCTACATCTACAGCTCCCACAACTGAAGCTCCAACAACAGCAGCTCCCACAACTGCAGCTCCAACAACAGCCGCTCCAACAACTGCAGTTCCCACAACAGCAGCTCCCACAACTGCAGCTCCAACAACAGCTGCTCCTACAACAGCAGCTCCCACAACTGAAGCTCCAACAACAGCAGCTCCCACAACTGCAGCTCCAACAACAGCCGCTCCAACAACTGCAGTTCCCACAACAGCAGCTCCCACAACTGAAGCTCCAACAACAGCTGCTCCCACAACAGCAGCTCCCACAACTGAAGCTCCAACAACAGCAGCTCCCACAACTGCAGCTCCAACAACAGCCGCTCCAACAACAGCAGCTCCCACAACTGAAGCTCCAACAACAGCAGCTCCCACAACTGCAGCTCCAACAACAGCCGCTCCAACAACAGCAGCTCCCACAACTGAAGCTCCAACAACAGCAGCTCCCACAACTGCAGCTCCAACAACAGCCGCTCCAACAACAGCAGCTCCCACAACTGAAGCTCCAACAACAGCAGCTCCCACAACTGCAGCTCCAACAACAGCCGCTCCAACAACAGCAGCTCCCACAACTGAAGCTCCAACAACAGCAGCTCCCACAACTGCAGCTCCAACAACAGCCGCTCCCACAACAGCAGCTCCCACAACTGAAGCTCCAACAACAGCAGCTCCCACAACTGCAGCTCCAACAACAGCCGCTCCAACAACAGCAGCTCCCACAACAGCAGCTCCCACAACTGAAGCTCCAACAACAGCAGCTCCCACAACTGCAGCTCCAACAACAGCCGCTCCCACAACAGCAGCTCCCACAACTGAAGCTCCAACAACAGCAGCTCCCACAACTGCAGCTCCAACAACAGCCGCTCCCACAACAGCAGCTCCCACAACAGAAGCTCCAACAACAGCAGCTCCCACAACTGCAGCTCCAACAACAGCCGCTCCCACAACAGCAGCTCCCACAACAGCAGCTCCAACAACAGCAGCTCCCACAACTGCAGCTCCAACAACAGCCGCTCCCACAACAGCAGCTCCCACAACAGCAGCTCCAACAACAGCAGCTCCCACAACAGCAGCTCCCACAACAGCCGCTCCTACAACAGCCGCTCCAACAACAGCCGCTCCCACAACAGCAGCTCCAACAACAGCGGCTCCAACAACAGCAGCTCCCACAACAGCAGCTCCAACAACAGCCGCTCCCACAACAGCAGCTCCCACAACAGCCGCTCCTACAACAGCCGCTCCAACAACAGCAGCTCCCACAACAGCAGCTCCAACAACAGCGGCTCCAACAACAGCAGCTCCCACAACAGCAGCTCCAACAACAGCCGCTCCAACAACAGCCGCTCCCACAACAGCAGCTCCCACAACAGCTGCTCCGACAACAGCAACTCCAACAACAGCACCTCCCACAACAGCAGCTCCAACAACAGCAGCTCCCACAACAGCAGCTCCAACAACAGCCGCTCCCACAACAGCAGCTCCCACAACAGCCGCTCCTACAACAGCGGCTCCAACAACAGCAGCTCCCACAACAGCAGCTCCAACAACAGCGGCTCCAACAACAGCAGCTCCCACAACTGCAGCTCCAACAACAGCCGCTCCAACAACAGCAGCTCCCACAACAGCAGCTCCCACAACAGCCGCTCCTACAACAGCGGCTCCAACAACAGCAGCTCCCACAACAGCAGCTCCAACAACAGCCGCTCCAACAACAGCAGCTCCCACAACAGCAGCTCCAACAACAGCCGCTCCCACAACAGCAGCTCCCACAACAGCCGCTCCTACAACAGCGGCTCCAACAACAGCAGCTCCCACAACAGCAGCTCCAACAACAGCCGCTCCCACAACAGCAGCTCCCACAACAGCCGCTCCTACAACAGCGGCTCCAACAACAGCAGCTCCCACAACAGCAGCTCCAACAACAGCCGCTCCCACAACAGCAGCTCCCACAACAGCCGCTCCTACAACAGCGGCTCCAACAACAGCAGCTCCCACAACAGCAGCTCCAACAACAGCCGCTCCCACAACAGCAGCTCCCACAACAGCCGCTCCTACAACAGCCGCTCCAACAACAGCCGCTCCCACAACAGCAGCTCCCACAACAGCCGCTCCAACAACAGCGGCTCCAACAACAGCAGCTCCCACAACAGCAGCTCCAACAACAGCCGCTCCCACAACAGCAGCTCCCACAACAGCCGCTCCAACAACAGCCGCTCCAACAACAGCAGCTCCCACAACAGCAGCTCCAACAACAGCCGCTCCCACAACAGCAGCTCCCACAACAGCCGCTCCAACAACAGCGGCTCCAACAACAGCAGCTCCCACAACAGCCGCTCCAACAACAGCCGCTCCCACAACAGCAGCTCCCACAACAGCCGCTCCAACAACAGCAGCTCCAACAACAGCAGCTCCCACAACAGCAGCTCCAACAACAGCGGCTCCAACAACAGCAGCTCCCACAACAGCAGCTCCAACAACAGCCGCTCCCACAACAGCAGCTCCCACAACAGCCGCTCCTACAACAGCCGCTCCAACAACAGCAGCTCCCACAACAGCAGCTCCAACAACAGCGGCTCCAACAACAGCAGCTCCCACAACAGCAGCTCCAACAACAGCCGCTCCCACAACAGCAGCTCCCACAACAGCCGCTCCTACAACAGCCGCTCCAACAACAGCAGCTCCCACAACAGCAGCTCCAACAACAGCGGCTCCAACAACAGCAGCTCCCACAACAGCAGCTCCAACAACAGCCGCTCCCACAACGTCTGCTCCGACAACAGCAACTCCAACAACAGTAGCTCCCACAACAGCAGCTCCAACAACAGCAGCTCCCACAACAGCAGGTCCAACAACAGCCGCTCCCACAACAGCAGCTCCCACAACAGCAGCTCCAACAACAGCGGCTCCAACAACAGCAGCTCCCACAACTGCAGCTCCAACAACTGCCGCTCCAACAACGGCTGCTCCCACACCAGCAGCTCCCACAACTGAAGCTCCAACAACGGCTGCTCCAACAACGGATGCTCCAACAACAGCTGCTCCAACAACAGCCGCTCCTACAACTGCAGCTCCAACACCAGCCGCTCGCACAACAGCAGCTGCCACAACAGCAGCTCCCACAACAGCAGCTCCAACAACAGTGGCTCCTACAACAGTAGCTCCCACAACTGCAGCTCCAACACCAGCGGCTCCCACAACTGCAGCTCCATCAACATCAGCTCCCACAACAGCAGCTCCCACAACGGCTGCTCCCATAACAGTGGCTCCAACAACAGCAGCTCCCACAACTGCCGCTCCAACAACGGCTGCTCCCACAACTGCCGCTCCAACAACGGCTGCTCCAACAACAGCAGCTCCAACAACTGCCGCTCCAACAACGGCTGCTCCAACAACAGCCGCTCCTACAACAGCAGCTCCCACAACAGCAGCTCCCACAACTGCAGCTCTCACAACAGCCGCTCCCACAACAGCGGCTCCAACAACAGTGGCTCCAACAACTGCAGCTCCAACAACAGCAGCTCCCACAACAGCCGCTCCAACAACTGAAAACCCCTGTAATGGTGTGGAGAATGGGAAAATCCCTGTCCCTAATGAGCCAAACTTCTTTTTTAACTGTGCTCAGGGGAATGTTAACAAGGTAAAATGTGCTGGCCAGAAAGTTTTTAGCACAGATCAGGGCAAATGTGTTTAGAATAACTACAGAGTTGGAAATAAATCCCTTAACTGTCCATAAGTGTTAAATTTTATTTGCATGAAAAAATAGGGGGGGGGGGGGATTGTCAAAAGCTGTTTCCTTAACAATTTCTCCTGATTCATCAATGTTGATTCTATAAAACATACATAATTATGGCTATGCTTGCTCTTTTTGGCCTCACTCATCAACACGTAGGTGGATAACTTTGAAAATGTATGCATGAAATGTCAGCACCATTTTCAGATGGATTTCCATAGGCTTTCTTTCCCCACTGAAATTCCAAAATAATGGGAATATTATTCAATTCAGTTAGCACACAAAACTATGTATTTATATCATGACACCAAACCTTTCAGCGCTGAGTTACAACTGCTTTCATTCGTTTTTAAATGTGTGTACATGTTAAGCACACACGTCTCTCTCAGTAATAACTTTGGACTCAGTAGAACGTGTGGCAATGTATTTGTCTGCAGAGACATTGCTTTCTGCTTGTAGTTTTTAATTTACTTTTTATTTTGCTATGTGTGGGACATTCTGGGCATGTACCACCACAGTGCACAGGTGAGGTTGGCACTTTCTTAAAAGATAGTGACCAGACTGTAAGCTGCATGCATCCAAGGGAAAGGTACTGAAATCACAGTCACAGCGCAGGAAAAAGTTTGCTATAACTAGGTGAAAAACCAAGCAGACAAAGCTCATTCCAGTGAATTTGGGATTGGTTTTTACTTTTGCTGGCAAGCATGCTTACAAACAGGAACCAATAAGTCCTGCATATTATACCTTTAAGAGAGGCAATGTCCTGCCATCCATGTCTGTCAATATTCATTATTTATATTATTTTATTTATCAATACCCAAATTGTACTGTGTATATTTAATTGTTGTCCTATTTCTGCCTGCAAATTAAAGGTGTATCTAAACCAGTTGGGGTTTTTTGTTATGTTTTGTTTTTAATGAAATCACTTCATCTAATATATCTTATTTTATTATATGGT